GCTGCGCCCAAGCGAGGGCGGGGCCTTTCTCTTCGACAATGGGTACCCACACATGGCCCATGAGTACCCACACATGGCCATGGGTACCCATTTATGGCTCATGGGTACCCATACATGGCTCATGGGTACCCACACATGGCTCATGGGTACCCATTTATGACTCATGGGTACCATACATGGCTCATGGGTACCCATACATGGCTCATGGGTACCCATTTATGGCTCATGGGTGCCCATTTATGGCTCATGGGTACCATACATGGCTCATGGGTACCCACACACGGCTCATGGGTACCCATTTATGGCTCATGGGTACCATACATGGCTCATGGGTACCCATTTATGGCTCATGGGTACCCATTTATGGCTCATGGGTACCCATACATGGCTCATGGATACCCACACATGGCTCATGGGTACCATACATGGCTCATGGGTACCATACATGGCTCATGGGTACCATACATGGTTCATGGGTACCATACATGGCTCATGGGTACCCATTTATGGCTCATGGGAACCCATTTATGGCTCATGGGTACCCACACATGGCTCATGGGTACCCATTTATGGCTCATGGGTACCCACACATGGCTCATGGGTACCCATTTATGGCTCATGGGTACCCATTTATGGCTCATGGGTACCCATTAATGGCTCATGGGTACCCATTTATGGCTCATGGGTACCCACACATGGCTCATGGGTACCCACACATGGCTCATGGGTACCCACACATGGCTCATGGGTACCAATTTATGGCTCATTGGTACCCATTTATGGCTCATGGGTACCCATACATGGCTCATGGGTACCCATTTATGGCTCATGGGTACCCACACATGGCTCATGGGTACCCATTTATGGCTCATGGGTACCCATTTATGGCTCATTGGTACCCATTTATGGCTCATGGGTACCCATACATGGCTCATGGGTACCCATTTATAGCTCATGGGTACCCACACATGGCTCATGGGTACCCACACATGGCTCATGGTTACCCATTTATGGCTCATGGGTACCCATTTATGGCTCATGGGTACCCACACATGGCTCATGGGTACCCATTTATGGCTCATGGGTACCCACACATGGCTCATGGGTACCCATTTATGGCTCATGGGTACCCACACATGGCTCATGGGTACCCATTTATGGCTCATGGGTACCCATTTATGGCTCATGGGTACCCATTTATGGCTCATGGGTGCCCATTTATGGCTCATGGGTACCCATTTATGGCTCATGGGTACCCATTTATGGCTCATGGGTACCCATTTATGGCTCATGGGTACCCATTTATGGCTCATGGGTACCCACACATGGCTCATGGGTACCCACACATGGCTCATGGGTACCCATTTATGGCTCATGGGTACCCATTTATGGCTCATGGGTACCATACATGGCTCATGGGTACCCACACATGGCTCATGGGTACCCATATATGGCTCATGGGTACCCACACATGGCTCATGGGTACCCATTTATGGCTCATGGGTACCCACACATGGCTCATGGGTACCCACACATGGCTCATGGGTACCCATTTATGGCTCATGGGTACCCATTTATGGCTCATTGGTACCCATTTATGGCTCATGGGTACCCATACATGGCTCATGGGTACCCATTTATAGCTCATGGGTACCCACACATGGCTCATGGGTACCCACACATGGCTCATGGTTACCCATTTATGGCTCATGGGTACCCATTTATGGCTCATGGGTACCCACACATGGCTCATGGGTACCCATTTATGGCTCATGGGTACCCACACATGGCTCATGGGTACCCATTTATGGCTCATGGGTACCCACACATGGCTCATGGGTACCCATTTATGGCTCATGGGTACCCACACATGGCTCATGGGTACCCATTTATGGCTCATGGGTACCCATTTATGGCTCATGGGTACCCATTTATGGCTCATGGGTGCCCATTTATGGCTCATGGGTACCCATTTATGGCTCATGGGTACCCATTTATGGCTCATGGGTACCCATTTATGGCTCATGGGTACCCATTTATGGCTCAAGGGTACCCACACATGGCTCATGGGTACCCACACATGGCTCATGGGTACCCATTTATGGCTCATGGGTACCCATTTATGGCTCATGGGTACCATACATGGCTCATGGGTACCCACACATGGCACATGGGTACCCATATATGGCTCATGGGTACCCACACATGGCTCATGGGTACCCATTTATGGCTCATGGGTACCCATTTATGGCTCATGGGTACCCATTTATGGCTCATGGGTGCCCATTTATGGCTCATGGGTACCCATTTATGGCTCATGGGTACCCATTATGGCTCATGGGTACCCATTTATGGCTCATGGGTACCCACACATGGCTCATGGGTACCGATTTATGGCTCATGGGTACCCATTTATGGCTCATGGGTACCCATTATGGCTCATGGGTACCCATTTATGGCTCATGGGTACCCACACATGGCTCATGGGTACCGATTTATGGATCATGGGTACCCATTTATGGCTCATGGGTACCCATTTATGGCTCATGGGTACCCACACATGGCTCATGGGTACCCACACATGGCTCATGGGTACCTATTTATGGCTCATGGGTACCCATTTATGGCTCATGGGTACCCATACATGGCCCATGGGTACCCATACATGGCTTATGGGTACCATACATGGCTCATGGGTACCATACATGGCTCATGGGTACCCATACATGGCTCATGGGTACCATACATGGCTCATGGGTACCATACATGGCTCATGGGTACCATACATGGCTCATGGGTACCCACACATGGCTCATGGTTACCCATACATGGCTCATGAGTACCCATACATGGCTCATGGGTACCCACACATGGCTAATGGGTACCCACACATGGCTCATGGGTACCCACACATGGCTCATGGGTACCCATACATGGCTCATGGGTACCCATACATGGCTCATGGGTACCCATACATGGCTCATGGGTACCCACACATGGCTCATGGGTACCATACATGGCTCATGGGTACCCAAACATAGCTCATGGGTACCCATACATGGGTCATGGGTACCCATACATGGCTCATGGGTACCCATACATGGCTCATGGGTACCCATTTATGGCTCATGCGTACCCATACATGGCTCATGGGTACCATACATGGCTCATGGGTACCATACATGGCTCATGGGTACCATACATGGCTCATGGGTACCATACATGGCTCATGGGTAACCGTACATGGCTCATGGGTACCCATACATGGCTCATGGGTACCCATACATGGCTCATGGGTACCCATACATGGCTCATGGGTACCCACACATGGCTCATGGGTACCCATTTATGGCTCATGCGTACCCATACATGGCTCATGGGTACCATACATGGCTCATGGGTACCATACATGGCTCATGGGTACCCATACATCGCCCATGGGTACCCATACATGGCTCATGGGTACCCGTACATGGCTCATGGGTACCCTACATGGCTCATGGGTACCAATACATGGCCCATGGGTACCATACATGGCTCATGGGTACCCATTTATGGCTCATGGGTACCCATTTATGGCTCATGGGTACCCTACATGGCTCATGGCTACCATACATGGCTCATGGCTACCATACATGGCTCATGGCTACCATACATGGCTCATGGGTACCATACATGGCTCATGGGTACCCATACATGGCTCATGGGTACCCATACATGGCTCATGGGTACCATACATGGCTCATGGGTACCATACATGGCTCATGGTTACCATACATGGCTCATGGGTACCATACATGGCTCATGGGTACCCATACATGGCTCATGGGTACCCACACATGGCTCATGGGTACCATACATGGCTCATGGGTACCCACACATGGCTCATGGGTACCCATATTTGGCTCATGGGTACCCATACATGGCTCATGGGTACCATACATGGCTCATGGGTGCCCACACATGGCTCATGGGTACCCATACATGGCTCATGGGTACCATACATGGCTCATGGGTACCATACATGGCTCATGGGTACTCGTACATGGCTCATGGGTACCCATACATGGCTCATGGGTACCCATACATGGCTCATGGGTACCCATACATGGCTCATGGGTACCCATTTATGGCTCATGGGTACCCATTCATGGCTCATGGGTACCCATATATGTTCATGGGTACCCATACATGGCTCATGGGTACCATACATGGCTCATGGGTACCATACATGGCTCATGGGTATCCATACATGGCTCATGGGTACCCATACATGGCTCATGGGTACCCATACATGGCTCATGGATACCATACATGGCTCATGGGGAAGCCGGGGCAGCAGAGCAGGAAGGTGCAGTCAAAGAAGGGGTAGTGGGGAATGGGAGCAGGGAGTACTTTGTTGGCTGGATTACCATTGTAAGGAATTTTCCCGAATTCCTTATCGGGGTTGACTGCTACGCGTACAGCCCGATTTTCGGACTTTGCACGTTCGGCCGATTTCAACGCTGCCGAGGCTCCTCGCGTCGCCTTCGGCATTTCCCATCGCCAAACCTGCACCCCAACCTCGCTCGTCCGAGGTTTCCTCCTAGCTAGGCTAGCTCCTACATTAGTACGTTCCTTCATTGTATTCTCAGATCAGTTAATCACAGTCTCGTTATTCGTTTACCTGCGCACTCTCTTTTACAACTCATAACAACCATACCATGTTGTAACATACTATTATATTATTGATTACACGTTTCATTAGCATATACCTACAATGCATCAAAACACCTTGATTCGGTCCATCCAGACTTCTAAGCTGTCTGAGAGAGATGTTCTCTCAGGGATGTAGCCTCAGTGCATCACCAAAGCATTAGTGCAGCCGTTATGATAAGCCTTTTAATTTGGATAAGAGTACGGTAAGATGTTGGTGGTACACTAGTACAAATAAACATCTACACCCGACACACTTCATGATTGATTAGGAGGACAGGCACACAACCACGCAACATACGGCTTTAATTAGAGTGTGGGGTGGCACAGTCTCTTGTCATCTCATTCACCAGCTCCCTCCGCCTCGCTATAATATGATCCGTCCACTCGTTAGTGCGCGCATCCACCACCTTCCCATACATGCACGCCAGCTCGCGCTTATACAAATCATACACAAACGTCGCGTTCCTCCTCTTGTGCTTGATCGCGGGCCAATCGTACCAGTCCATTACATACTGCCAAATCTGCCGCTGCTCGTATTTCAACACATCTCCGCACCGATCGAGCGCGCCCTTGGGAAACGCGTGGCATAGGGCCTCGTGGGCGTAGTACCCTCCCAAGGCCACGTAAATCTTGACAACGCGGGGGGCGGTGTCGCTGTTGTTGGTGGCTGTGCGGAAGGGCTGTGAGTAGGACATGTGCACGCCCACACGTGGGATAGGCACGTGGTTGGTCCACTCTAGCGCCCAGTGCACCTGTGGGTTGGGGAGAGGTAAGAGGCAAGGATAGCAGCATAAGCTAGGTAGGACATGTGCACGCCGACGCGTGGGATGGGCACGTGGTCACGTGGCTGGTCCACTCTAGCGCCCAGTGCACCTGCGGGTTGGTGGGAAGAGAGGAGGAGGTGAGGAGGCGAGGGGAAGGACAGTGTGCAAAGTGCGGCTTGTGAGGATGCAGAGTGGAATAGTGCCAGGCTCTAGCATGGGATGGCATGGCATTCTATGGTATGGGTATGGGACTGCTTGGCATGGCATGATATGATATAGTTAAAGCGATATAGTCCACGTCACCACATCAGAACTCTGCCCCTCTTCACACAACAAATCTCACCTGCACGCCTGTTCACCTCATCCCGCCTGCTCACCTCGTCTTGTGTGAAGGCCCACATAAAGTTGCCCAGAGTCGTGTGGGCGATCTGAGTCCTGCTCAGCACAAAGAGGGAGACGGGAAGACACACAGCCGGCACAAGAGGATGAGGATGGGGATGGGGATGGGGATGGGGATGGGAGGGCAGAACATTTTGGCCAGAAAAGGTGTCCACAGCTGTTAAGTGCACGGCTGGTTAAAAATCATCTGTAAAATCCCTTTGGCTCTGATGCAAATGCACATGCCTCTCCAGTCTAGGCACCCCTGTCCCGAATGCTGGCACCCAGTAGCTGCTGTCTGTTTAGCCAGCAAGCTTCGGAGGCATGGAACAAAACCCCCGAATCCATAATTCACAACCCACCCATGCGTGCCCATGCTCATATGCAAGACTCTCAGACGTCTCAAAGTGTAACCTTGTCTCAGACTCAACTCCCGGTTCAGCTTTCACATTACAGCGAGACAGGTGTGCACGTGGTTTTGTTTGAAGTGGATTCTTGAAATCCTCTCAAAACTCGACCCACCTCTCGAATTTCGGCCCGTGCCGTGCAAATTTCTGAAATGCCGCGTCAAAGCTCGCAAACTTGCCGTCACGGATGCGCGTCACGTGGTCTCGGAACTTGGGCAGCACGTCACCTCAGAACCTCTCTTTGCCTCAGAACGCACCTCTCAAACTTGGGCCCATGCTTGGCGAAGTTGAGGAAGGCTGCATCAAAACTTGCAAACTTGCCGTCGCGGATGCGGGTCACGTGGTCTCGGAACTTGGGCAGCACGTCGCGTGGGAAGACAAAGGGCAGCTGCACCATGAAGTTGGCGAAGTAGTAGGGCTTGCCCACGAAGTAGTGCGTTGACGGCACCCAGTGGTTCATCTGCTTCTGCCTGCTGCCTATCACGTACGGCTTGCCGTCCGTCAGGTTAAAGAGCAGACCCGGGGTCACCTGGAGTGGCCGAGTATTGAGGTGGGGGGGAGGACAAGGGGTGGGTGGAGACGGGTAGGGATGGGCAGGGATGGGTAGGGATGGCACCATGAAGTTGGCGAAGTAGTAGGGCTTGCCCACGAAGTAGTGCGTGGAGGGCACCCAGTGGTTCATCTGCTTCTGCCGACTGCCTATCACGTACGGCTTGCCATCTGTTAGATTGAACAGCAGCCCGGGAGTCACCTGGGGTGGCGGAGTGGTGGATAGGGTGGGTGGGGATGGTAGGTATGGGTAGGGGATGGGTTGATAAGGGTCGGGGATGGGTAGGATGGGTAAGGATTGGTTGGGATGGGTAGGGAGGACGAAGGGTAGGAGCACCATGAACGGCGGCTTGGCATACGTCAGGTTGAAGAGCAGCTTGGGGATGGAGAGAGGTGGGGAAGGGAAGATGGTAAAGGTGGGGAGGGTGGGAAAGGGTGTTGGGTTGGGGCCATATAGTGCTTGTGGTTCGTTTGCTTCTGCCAGCTGCGGATCACATAGGGAGTACCGTCCGAAATGTTGAAATTGATGACACAATTGCACGCAGGAGCTCACCTTGAGGTTGAAGATGACGTCATCGTCTATAATGGCGATGTATGGTGCGGTGGTGTAGTTGTCGGCCCACAGGTAGCTCCACTGCTGGAGGATCTTTCCAGGAAGCTTCAGATAGTTCTTCTCGTAGTACACCTGGTGGTGATCCGAGGGGAGAATGGGCCACGGGAGGAACAAGGGTTGCAAATGTTGATGCGATTACTTTCACATTCATCCGTTCTTTTACACAAACACCACGTCTACCCTGGGTAGAGACCAAATTGGCCGCACTGTTGCCCGTCTGGAATGCAGAGCAGTAGTGAGTTGGAGTTATGGTGCTTCTCTGCAGCATTGTTACACAAGATGCCCGTTTGACTAGCCCAAGGTTGCCTTGTGAAGAGGGCTCTTAAGTGATTCCAGCATTTCGCTAAGTTTTCGTCAATTCGCACTTAGCAAAAAGGGCTTTTAAAAGATTTTGTAACTCTCTGTTGACCGTTTGACGTTGGTCTCTTCTGTCAAACTTCGGTTTTTGTGGTTCGTATTGCTCGAGGTGCTTGTAAATGGGGTGCAACTGGCTGGCACCCTAATACACGGGTGCAGAGTTTCCATCGCGGGCAGGGCAAATTCGCGCGCAGGGGTTGGGCATCTTGTGTACTTGATCCCGTTGACTCCCGTTGACTCACCTTGATCCACGTGGGCACGATGTCCTCCACGATCTGGTTGTCCTCGTCCAGCACCAGGATGACGTCACCGATGCCACGTGGCCACATCTGCTCGATGCTGTCGAACAGCATCTCCAGCAGGAAGAACGTGTCCGACACGTAGCTGCGAATCAGCAGGTCCACTCGCGCCGGCCACAGCGGCCTGTTTTTAAGGGATGACGTGGGGAAGGGGGAAGGGGGAAGGGGGGATGAGGGGAGAGGGGGAAGATAAGGGAGAAGAGAGATAATGTCGAGGAATTTAGGCTTATTGTGAGCCAGATGATAGTACCCGTCTCAGCTGAAAGTGAACTCGTACTGAGAACACAAATTGACGAGCTTGCTCGTGAGCACAGAAAAACTCGGTCTGTTATAGGGAAGGAAAAAAAAAAAGGAAAGAAAAGGCGAAAGAAAGAAAAAGACAGAGACTTACTTGTAGGCATCGTCGTAAAGCTTGAACAGCTCCTTCACGCAGTGACCCGACTTGGTTCGCCGTTTACACGATCCGAAGCAATTGTCGTTCCCCGGACTCAACCCGATCCCTCCGCACGGATCGATCTGCGTTTCGATTCCCACTCGCATCCCTCCAGAGCTCTTTTCGGACGACCCTTCCACGTCGGAAAAGCCGTCTGTAGAGCCGTACATCCCCGCTTTAACGTCCGCGTCGGCGTAGTCACGATCCGTTAAGAGCGAGTTGAACGGCCGGTCTAGTAGCGAGTTACCGCCGATCGAGCTGACTCGGCCGAGAGTGTTGGCGATCGCGAGGAGGACGACGAGGGTGATTCCGGACATTAGACCGAGGCATAGCGCTTGTCGACGAGTTAAGATGAGAAATGGGGAGGGGTGGGATTTATGTAGGAAGTCTTTTGGTTGCTTCGGAGAAGCAATGGCAGAGGAATCCGTCTTTCTCATGGTATCGAACGCCATCGTAAGGGAGACGGCTCGTAAGCTATGGACGGAAATGTTGAGCCGAATCAACGCAGCCGTTCAATATTGTCTTTCACGCACGATTCTCCTTCGGTCTATTGTCGGTCTATCGAGCCGTTTTTACGAGAGAAAACCAGGCGTGAAAAGTATACTTTCGTAGTTTCAGATGGAGGTCTCGATGTCACAATCGCATACAGATATTCACCAACTGAGTAGAAAAATCCATATTGAAATCAACTTTGTTTTTCCTGTAATGTCGAGATCACCGCGTATCGGTGCTGAGAAGTGCTTCACAACAGACTAGCACCTGCACTGCTTGAGTAAGAATTGGCGAGCTGGGTCGAATCGTTGACTGCAGACTGAAATCTATAAGAGAGTTCGACGTTGATAACAAAACGAAAGGTATCACGAGAGCGAGAGAGCAAACGCAGAGAACCGACTTTATGAGAAACAGAATGCTACCTGCCGTTAGTTGGCCGGTGGGTGGGTTCTGTTCAATGGCTCTTCAATTGTCGCTGAATGTACTCCAGAATGCTTGCAAGGCTCTGGCTGTTCCGCTGCTGATTCCCGTGAGCGTGAGAGATTGCCGTCGAGCTGAGGAAGCAGGGAGAAGCTGGGAAGCGGGAAAACTTGGGAACCACGAAGCTGCGATCTTGAAAAGTGGGAATGTGATTGGCTGTGGCGAATTTCTGTCGACAATGTTCCCAATGGGATCGCAACCAACCAGAGCATCGAGCCCTCCCTCTCGAGGAGATGATGGTGATGGATGTGGCATGACTGGTGGTTGGGGAGGGCAAGGTAGGCTGCTGAGAAACATTTGCTGGTTCAGGCTGACTGGAACCTGATGGCTTCTAGACTAAAAAACAGTCGTGTGTCCTTATATTGACTAAATTATTGGGGTTTTCCCAAAGGAGGTGACGCCTTTAGTAAGGTTCAAACAACACCTTCGAAGTTTGACTCTCGCCATCCTTACTGATTCCTGCCCCAGTTACGGGCCGACTTTTTCTGCCCCGGTTATGGTGTCGGTCGGCCAGCCCTTGCGATGGGTCACGCTGTAGCACCTGCGAATGGGGCCACTCAGGGAAGGCACCTGAAAGTCCTCCAGATCAGAAGCCAAGGTTTACGTCTCCTTGATTGAACAAGAAGTCACATCACATTCTGCCATTGTACCTGCCCGGTTCGCAAAATTCTCCGTTTTGAACCTGGCTCAGCTGATGTTGACGGGGTCAACAGTCAACGGGTAACCGGCAAGCAACATGGAAAACGGCGTGTGCGACGATGGCAGACTACCTGCGTTCCGGGGACAGGTTGATCTTAGCATTCGGGGAAGGCATAACTGTTCCCAGAAACGCGTTTTTTTTTTTTTTTTTTTTTTTTTAAATCATTGATAGTGTATACCGATACAGGCAAGCATAAACCATCAAACGGTCGTAACCGTGCGTGAGGGACAGCAGCCTATCTACTGTTCCAGGTGAGCTGCATAGGGCGAGATGTCACGTGCCCTAAAAACACTGTTCCAGACGAGTTGCCTAAGACGAGCCGTTGCATGCCCTTCGCGTGGACCACAGAGCAGCAAAAGCAGGCTTCCATGTCCAGCTTCTGCCATCCATCTTGATCCTCCCCAGCATTTTCTGCTCCTCCACAAAATTTTCCTTCAACCGCTTCTTCCGAGATGCCCCCATCTTCAACATGTATATCTTTGCGTGTAGTCTAAAATCAGCTTCCGCCTTCCACAACACTCGCTTGACCCGGAATTTCTGCCCCCGGAAAACCGCGTCACACCTCTCCTTCCAGACTTGATGAAAAACCACCGACGTGAGTGTCAGCTCTGGAAAAGCTGACCTAGTGCCCGTTTTCCGGAACAGAATATCACCCAGCGAGGCAGTTGGGCGGCTGGGATTTAGCATGCGTAGAGCGCGCCGAAGGGCCGAGGTCACCGCCTGTATCCTGGGGCACAGGATAAGGCAGTGCTCCATCGTCTCTTGCTCCCCGCAGTACGGGCAGACTGGCCTGCTGCTGAGGAACGCCAGCCTTTCCCCCACCTGCAGATTCCAACCGTGGATGCGAACGAGGACATCTCTTGGACGGCTGGGGACCGCCAACGAGTCCCGAGTCAGCACCACCCGCTTCCAATCGATGGGGTTTCCCCACCGCACACCCCACTTCTGCTGCTTGTACGATTGGCCGGAAGCCCCCTTCCACCCATCCTTCATCCGCTTCATAGAGACCACCCGCCCTCCTTCCAGAATTGGAACACGCAGGGGAGAGCCAGCCGAGCACGGAGGGACTGTGGGGAAACCCAGAAACTTTTGCCAGTAAGACGGAATCGCAAACAGCGCCTTCAACGCCAGCTTAGCCGACCCGTTACCACCCAGTTCCTGCTTTAACACCGCCATGGATTTCACCACCGCAACCCCATCCTCTTTTCCATCCAGCAGATCCCCGATACGAGTGTGCTTCAGGTTCTGCGCCTCTTTCTGCCCACCAACCGGGTTGGTGCCATTGAGTAGAATATCTTTGTTGAAGAACAGCCTCTCCTGCAGGACATCCTCCCTACTCCCCACCAGGTTCCTGATCGAGAAAGGCGACCTCATGAAGCTTTCCACTGTCTGTTTCCACCGAAGGCTGTCGCTGCCCCAGTGCTTCAGCAATTTTTCGTGCGCGGTAAAGGAGCCCACCCCCAACGGAAGCTTCGCCGCCCGCTCCATGAGGTCTCTTTTAAGCGGATTCTGCTCCGTGATGAACAGGCCGACCCTCCTCGCCGCCAAGCATGTGATAAGTATCTCTGGGTCTCTGACCCCGATCCCACCGTCCAATCTCGGAGTATAGAGCAACTCCCTGCTCCATAGAATAAACCCTTTTGCAGTTGCAACTCTGTTCCCCGATGTAAAGCTGTGCAGTAGCCGCATGATTTCCAGCCATATAGCCGCAGGCGGCGGGTAGATCTGCGCCTGAAAAGCCAGAATAGGTGTAATATAAAAGTTGACGACTGTCGCCCTTGCTGTGATTGTCAGGTACTTAAGCTGCCACTTGGTCAGTTTCTCCGAAACACGGCTCCATGTCTTCTCCCAAGTCGGCTGACCGTTACCGGACGGCGTCACCCACACCCCCAGTAACCGCTCGGCCTCGTCTGCTTTGGCCCACTTGAAACCGCCGGCCCCGCCGTCAGTCGCTCCGATGTTTGCCCCCAGAGGTAGTATCACTGATTTCGACTTGTTTGTTGCCAGCCCTGATGCTTTTTCAAAATGATCAAGTAACTCCTCCGCCTGACCGATCTGCTCCCTTCCTTGCAGGACGAGTGTAGTGTCGTCTGCGTACCCAAGATATCCAAGCCGGTGCCCTTCCTTCTCAAGACCGAGCTCCCGCCTCTCCACTTCCTGAGCTAACGGCTCCACCGCGCATAAAAACAGGTACGGCGCCAGGGGACACCCCTGCCGAACCCTAGAGACCACCTCAACTCCTTCCCCGAGCCAACCATTAATCAGCAACTTGGTTGTCGTTCCCTCGTGCAGGCCCTTCACCCAGCCGACAAGCCGTTCTGGGAAGCCCATTTTCTCCAAGACATCGAAAAGAAATCCCCGCGAGACCGAATCAAACGCTTTTTGGAAGTCCACCATAAGCATGTACCAGTCCTCATTCCCGTTTTTGGCTCCTTCGATAATGTCTGCCACCAGCGCTACTGCATCCGAGAGACGGCGTCCGGGGATGAAGCCATACTGCTCCGGAGAAATGACCATGTGAAGAACAGACTTCATACGGTCCGCCACCACCCTAGCCAGCACCTTGTAAGTGAAATTCAGCAACGTGATTGGACGGTAGTTGTTCAGCTGCTCCTTTTCTCCCTTCTTGTGCAGCAGAATCGTTACAGCTTCCTTGATCTCCGCCGGTAAAGATGCACTGCTCTGAAAACTCTTTGCCATGACCATGAAGCTTTCCCCCAACAGGTCCCAATGCGCCTCGAACAACTCCTTCGGCAGACCGTCGCTGCCGGGGGACTTGTTCTTCGCCATCGCCGCAAAAGCTTTCTTGACCTCTTGCTCTGTCCAATCCGCTGTAAGTGTCTCAGCCACCCCAGCATCTAGACGACGAGCCGGACGGAAACTCCACTCCGCGCCCACAACACGACGATCCTTCCCAAAGATGTTTCTGAAGTAGCGCGACGCCGCCACCAGGATCTCTTTCGGACCGGTGATCGACACTGCACCATCCTTCAGTTCTGAAATCTGAGTTCGCACTTTCCGCGCCTGCACCTTCGCCGAGAGGTGCTTCGAGGCAATCTCGCCCGTCATCTCCGCCGTGGAACCCGCCTGCGGATGCAGCCTCTCTTTTCTGGACGCCTGATACATTTTCAGCTGCCCCTCTTTCACCTTCAGCAACTCCTTCGTCCTGGTGCAGAGAGGATCCCCCATCAGCCGCTGCGTCAAAGTCGCAATCGTGGCAGTCAGGTGAGCCACCGTCGCACGAACCCTCTTGCTTTCCTCCCTTGCGTAGGCCCTGAGCCCAGCGCTCAGTCTGGCCACCAACAGTTCAAAACTGCTCCCATCATTAACCGGGGTCCTCCGTACTGTCGCCTCAATTATTTTCCTCACCCCCGGCTTGTTCACCATTGAAGCGTGTAAACGCCACAGCCCAGGCCCTGTGCAGGCCTTCTCATCCAACCGGAAGGCAGTCAGAACCGCGAAGCCGTGATCCGCAACTGGCTCGTCAGGCTTAACATGAGCTGCGACCGACAGGTAAGGGAGAAGGGACTGTGAGACCAAGGCTCTGTCTATCCGCGTGCTGACTCGTTTTGACTTAGAGAAAAAGGTGTACTCCCTGCAGCCTGGATGAAGGATGCGGAAGGCGTCAGAGAGTTGGAAGGCCTT